GACGAAAACCCAATCCCGATGGCAAACACCGGGGTGGGCGGCTTGTTTTACAACGTCGTTGCCAAGCGACGAAAACCCAACCCCGATGGTAAACACCGGGGGGGGGAAGGGGTGCGCTAATTGTTGAATGAAGTCTTGACAGCCAGTGGGAAAAGGCATCTGCTGGATGTTTGGCTTCTTGTGGGTCTGATTAGCCCTGCACACATGGGGATTGTTGCCGCCAAAAACCACACACCCACAACGGCAAAACGCACACAAAAAAACGAAGGAGAAAACAAACCTGCGATTGACCATGACTTAATCATACAACCTCACGACAAACAGCCTGCCCGTCTTCGTTTGTTTACTTCTTGTCTTCACTTCCAAGTTAGCGCTCACAGCATTTTGTGCGTTCGTTTTTCTCCAACCCGTGGTCACACAGCAGGGTTTCCTCTCCCTGAGGCAGGCCCTCTACTGCCTGTCCCGAAAAAAACACAATTGATTGCCCACCGCGGCTCACCTCCGACACCCAAAACTGCGGCTTCTTGACGTTCCGGAACATCTTCCACCTCCACCCCTCGTCCGACCACAGCTCCTGCCGCGCGTACCCCGCGTCCGCAACGAACTCCAAGAACTCGCCGTTGGTGACCATGTGCTTGGCGGCCTCGAAACTGGGTACGTAGAACTCGCGCGAACCGTACTCGTTGTCCCAGCCGAAGCTGCACGTTTAGTATTTGCAAAAATAAATAAATGCAAAGCGCGTGTCTAGTTTCAGCGAAAATATAAAGGGCGTTCAGGTCAAAATAAACAGTGAGTAACGCACTATTGCTTTGTTTCGATGCCGTCTAATTGCACCGTCACCGACCCATCCCACGTGGTGCCAAGGAGGGGAGGGGGGGGACGGTCGGGTGGTATGCCCGCCGGGGTAGAGGGCGGGGGAGACGCAGAGCAGGAATCGCAGTGGCGTTTACAAGCCATGTTGGGAAGGGTGGCGGAATGATTTGGGTGGAGAGAAGTCGAGCTAAAACGACCACAGATGGCTCTTATTGACGTGCACATTTCGTGATCGCGACAGGTTTCTGGGTCCTGATGCCCGGACATCAGTCGCCTCTTCTCTCTCAAGCGACCTTGGGGGGCTCGTCCCGCCCGATCTACTTTCTAGACATGTTGGTCGAGCAGGCGTTGAAAATAGCTCGCAACTCAGGGGACGGCACCTCGGAGGCAAGCCTTTCATTCCTCGTGTTGTGGTCGGCACAAGTACGTCGAGCATTTTCCATTTGGCGACCTCGTGCTTGTCGACTACGCGCTGGTCAAAGCCGTTCCCAACGCTTCTCGTTACAGACGAACGGAGGAAAACGTCCAAGATAATGCCCTCGGGGGCACCGTCCCCACTGCTTCTTCGTCTGTTGCTGCCGTCGTCTGCAACTTGCTCATTATCGTCCGGTTCAAAAACCATTGTGGGTACGAGGCGAGCTCTTCATTTTGCGTCCTAAAAAATTGACAACACACACACACACACTCCGCACTAAGACTGACGTCTTTTCATTGGTCAGCCGGTTGGCGCGGACGAACTAGAAAAGAAAACACACACACAAAAACTTCCCATGTGTACATCGAATGCGTACATATACGACGCGCTGACAGCAATGCGCGCGATCCACACACACCCCCGAACGCACCTCGGAAAATCCTTCGGCTTCCCCAGGCGGACCACGCCTCCCTCCACTCGCACCAGAGGGTTTTCGATTGGAGGCGGCGTTGGCGAGCGGTCGCCGTCATCGGAATCGGGGACATGCGGGGCCGGCCACGTCGCCGGGCGCGAGACGTGCTCGAGGGGAAGCTCGCGGATCAACACGCTCGACGTCTCGACGTGGATGCGCTCATGCTCCATCGCCATCGGCAGGGCCCAGTACGGGCTGTCCGCGCCGATGTTCGAGATCTCCGCCTCGGACGCGGCGTGTATGACGGAGGAAACCACCCGGTAGACCTGCTGCCGGTAGGCGTGGACCTCTTGAAGGGTAGGCCACTCCATCTGTGGGGGAGGAGGCGTCCGAGCAACGGGGGGTGGGTACTCGTGTCTTGCATGCCTTGGATTCTAGACTGTTGATCACGTGTCCTCGCGAGGACGGGGAATTGTGGTCCTACCGGACCGAGGGGGGGAAGTAGGCGCAGGACGGATTTATTGCGGGGTTCGGGAGACTGCACGAGACTTTCTGCCAGGCGCCAAGTCGGGTGGAAAGGATAGGCGGAAAAGCGCGAAGGAGGAACACTAGCCGGACAACGGAGAACTCTGAAGCCGCAAGAAAACTAAGACGCTGCAGAGGTTTTTCCAGTTGAGAACAAGAACCGCGAGCACCGCTGAGCTAGAGCGTCTTCTGCGTAACCACGGATGGGGGTTGCTCTGGTTGGGAGAGGAAAACCACAGGGAGGGGTTGAAAATGTGGGCGATCGACGGCAATGAGATGGGAAGCAACAATAACAACGACGACCACGACGACAAGAGAACACAAAAAAACGTTTTCGGCGGGGCTTGGGCGAGACGCCTGAGGTGGTAAAAAGAAGCACACAATGCGCGCGCGGTCAATCGGACTTGCAACAGAGCGAACAGAGTATGGCCCACTGGGAATACGCGTGCACGTGCGCCGGGAACCGCCCGGCCCGCTGAGCCTCGCTCACGTTGTCATCGCCAACGTCATCCCACGCCATCTCATCCACTCCTGTCTCTAGCAACGCCTCGAAGTAGGCGTTGACTGGTGCCTGTCGAAAAAATACAGAAGCCATGTTCGCATCCAGTTTAGTATCAATAATTGCACTCGCGCGCGCGATAGACCATGCGGAGAAAATAGTAGGGGGTGAATGGCTGCTACGACACGCCAGCAGTGTATCGTTTCCCGGCACGTGTAACCTACGGGCCGGCCGTAGACGCGAACACTACATGCTGCACGAATAGGAGAGCGGGATTGCGAGGGACTGAACGTAATGGCCACATGTTCACCACATGAGCTGGTTGGAGGAGGCGATCCGGGATTGCGAGGGACTGCCACGTTTTCACCACATGTACTGGATGGAGAATGATATCCTCCCGACGGGAACGCCAACACCCCTCTCTTGCTCCCCCACTGTCTCTGCCCCCCCCCC